ATAAACAGTGGATGATGGTATTCAAAACAGTTCAATTTTCTTCCTCTGTGTTTGCTGGTGTTTTCACATTTTTCTACAATGATAAGTATTTCACTTTTACAGTAAGACGGAACCGTTTTAAGCCAGGGTCATAGCTCAGCAGCACAGCACCTGCTTGGTAAGTACAATGTCCTCAATTCAATTCCTAATACCAGAATAGTTTTGGTGCTAATACTGCTAACCTGATACGAGAAGTTATATATAAAAGCAGATTTGTTTATTCTAATGACATAGATTCCTGTATTTAATTTCTGTTGTCTTTTTTTGTTAAGAGCAACTGTGTTTTTAGAATATCATTCTTAGCTCCAAAAGAACTAAAATATTGTCATAGCATCTCTATTTAATTTATTTAATGAACAATTTACACTTGATCTTAGCCAAAATGCCAAGAAATGATTAATAAACAACTTACATACAAAGTTAGTTTTTCCACCAAAAGTGTTGAGGGTAGAAGTGAGTAGTAATTAAATAGCACGCTATTCACTAAACACATTCATGACTGCGCTAACTTGCATGTCTCTCTGCCAGGCAGCTCTGATTTAGATTGGCCATTGAGTCAGGTGGCTGTACACTTCTCAGTGGGTCTTTGATTACAATAATGGAAAGAAAGGCACTGATTTAACAGACCAGATGTCATCATATTGCAGTTCCTTCAGGAAAACATTAAAATGGTATAAGAAAGTATAACTGCTTATTTGTGGTACAATACAGTGGTTGTGAATGAGTATTATACACATGGCAGTGGGGTACTTGTAAAATTTCCACGTTAAAAATTAGGGAATTAGTTACTGATGAACTATTAACCCATGAAGAAATGTCATGTGCCAGGAAGATAGCTCAGCGGCACAGCACCTGCCTGGCAAGTGCAAGGTCCTGAGTTCAATTCCCAGTACCAAAAAAAAAGAAATGTCATGAGTGCAAATTACTTGGAAAAAATTTCACTCTATTAAAGCTTATTTAGAATCAATAAGAAATCCATGTAAAACAAAATTCATGCATGCCAGTAATCCCAGCACTTGGGAGGCTTAGGCCAGGAGGACCACTGTGAGTTCAAGGCCAGCCTGAACTACTGCAAGACTGTCTCCAAAAAAGAGAAAGATGCTGGGGAGATAGCTCAGCAACACAGCACCTGCCTGGCAAGCACAAGGTCCTGAGTTCAATTCCTGGTTCCAAAATACACAAACAACGACAACAAAACACAAAGAAATAAAAAAACTTGGAAAAAATGGGTACCACTGTGGCCACAAAGAAAGCTAAACTCATTATGACATTTTGTGCACACTACACAATTCAGCCACCATTATGTATAAAATATTTTAAAGAAATTCACAAATACAAATTTCTTTTAATGAAATAAATTTGTTGATAATTGTAATAATTTTTAATCTATATGAATAGTATCAATATCTCTATTTGGGCAGTAATTATTCAAACTAAAGCAACTAACTATATTCAATTAATTTATAGTTTTATTAATTTTATTAATAAAAGAGGTTAGATCCATTTGTACCATAAATGGTACAAGATGCTGATGGCCACAAATATACCACCAGTGATTCAGCAGTGGGAAGCTGTCAAAACCAGAACCATGCTTCCCAATTACTGGGCCCTGAATGTACAAGCTGCTCAGCAGCTAAAATTGACAAGTTAGTGCAAGGGTGACCAAGGCATTAGACATTCTAAATTAAGACCCGCAACAAATTAAGACGCAGTGGCACATGCCTATAATATCAGCACTCTGGGAGGCAGAGAAAGCAAGATGCTCTCTCAAAAATTTAGAAGACTGGGGAATGTCAACACCATGGTGCATTGAGATGCTGGCACCAAGTGTTATCCAGTCTACATGTTTATGACTGAAATGACCCGTTTTTCAGATTAGAGAACAAAGCATGTGGCTCAGAGAATATGGTGTGACAGTTAGTAATGTGGGCTCTGGAATGAGAATGTCCTGTTTCTGAGTTCTAGACATACTCCATGATTAGCTGTAGGACCTTAATGTCCTATGGCATCGGTGTCCTCATCTAGGGCTCAGTTTTTACTTGACAAGGATACCACGAAAACTGCACAAAACCACACCAGGGATAATGAGGAAGAAAAGTCAGATGACATTCTCTCTCAGTGATTAGTACTTGTGTCTTATAAAGTGGAAGAAAAAAGAAATGGCTGTGAATACATCTATTTAGTGATTAGTACATCCCAGTCTACTTTCTAAATGTAAGTTAGTGAAAAACATCTCACAACCCAGCTAACCTTTCTGACAGTCTCTTCAAACGGAAAGCTATACCCTATTCAATTGGTAGGGGGTTGAAAATAAAAATAACAACTATAATTAAATTTGGTAATGTTAAAACACTCTCCCTGCTCTATTTTTCTCTCCAAAGTACACTCTGAGTTCATTTTCCAAACAACTTCATGGTAAGCCCAGAAAGAGTTATTTATCAGCTTGTCCCTAAAACACAGCAAAGTGCCCCCCTCAAGGAACCATATAAGCTTATTTGTAGAAACTCAACATCAAACACAAGGGCTGGGAGAAGAACTCAATGGTGAAGCATTTGCCTGCTATGCACCAACCCAAGGTTTGATCCTTGGTGCATGTGCGTGCCCGCTCACACACACGCGTGCGCGCGTGCGCGCGCGCACACACACACACACACGCAGGAGGGAGGGAGGGATGGAGGGGAGAGAAAGAGGGAAATGATAAAGGGAAGGAGACCAAGAGACATGTCATTTACTTTGGGGTGCGTACTTCAACCCTGACACATAAATGTTCCCAGCACCTGACATGGACAGGCAGAACTGCCCTGGGCATTCCTGTGATTTTCCTTCAGGCAACTACAGGCATTTACATGTGAGGGTCTTCCTCAGCCCACCCTCACTACCCTGGGGATGCAGCAGGAGGAACAGCCACCATCACAGGAACCTATGTCACACCTAGAGGGAACACAAGATGCCTCAAATCATAACTGAAAGCAATTAAGGGAACAGAAGCCACAGCTCTGTGCTTTTTATTTGGTTTCTGTAAAAACCTCACTACTTATAAGAAAAATCTATGCTAAAAAGTTGAAAACCTCACTGCTCTGGTCTAGTACCTGCTTTCAGGTATGGGTAAGCTGGACTTCAGACAAGTTAAGGCATCTGTGAGGGCTCCACAGGCAGCTCTAAGACTGGCCCCAGGAAGCTTGCCCAAGGCAGCTTCTCTACAGCTCCAGCATCCATCTCTACTCTCTCCACTCTAACCACATTAGTAACCACCATTTGGAAAGTGGGAACTTTTATTTAGTCTTCTGAGTGCCTCTATCCATTTTCACGTTTACACTGACAACAGGAAAGAGAAATGATATCTTCTCCATTTACTTGAACCTCTCTCTTTTGTTACATAGCAAGGTATTCTAATCCTTGAGACAACTATACTTGCTAAAACACCAAGTGCTCCAAAATGTAGCACATACAAGATTCTTCCATTTGGTATGCATATAAATGCATTAAGTTTTTTAAAAGGTAGATATTTTTTATACTTTTTTTTTTCTTTTGAGACAGGGTCTACGTAGTTCAGGCTGGCCTCAAACTCTATGTAGATCAGGCTGGCTTTGAAATCACAGCAATCCTCCTGCCTCAGCCTCCCAAGTGCTAGAATTATAGGTGTATTCCACCACACCCAGCAATTTCTTAAAATTTAGGGACTCAAATCCATGATATAATGGGATACGCAGTACTGCCCAGGAGTACATGGAAACTTCTTTGCAAGTGTAAAAATGGCTAACAGAAAGTACATTAACATTCTCAAAGTCTTCTATTTTAAGTGACAAAAATCTGTTTTAAATGAACTATTTTGGTCTTGCAAAGCTGACACTTCAGTTGTTTTATCTGCCCTCACTACCTAATACTTATGGCTTAAAATTGTTTTCACTGATATCTTTCATACGAAGCATTTACAGTAATGACATGATAATGAGCATGTACTTATCACGTAAATTGTCATTTCACCAGATATAGCAAAACCATGGAAAGAAATAAGGAAAAGAATAAAGTCTGAGAAATATTTTTTAAACCTCAGGAAAAAAAACATACTTGTATAACCTTCATATTTTTACTTTCTAGGCCATGTCTTCACCTAAGTATTATGAATATCTGCACTGTACATGATGAAACATGTTTGGTTCAACTTCTAATTTGTCCAGACCTTTCACGACAAAGAGGCTTCTCGCTCTCTCCAGACACTACAGTGTAGTGACTAACGTACAGTGAGTCATCTGCAAATAACTGCTACTGTGAGTGCCTCGGGCAGTGATAGGGTGAAGGAGGGCCTTCTCCATATTTAATAATCTATTACTAAGAAGATTCTTGCACTTCCAATGGATCGTTAAGAGTAGAATTTCAAAAAAAATGACTTCTATACCTGGCACCTACTGACTTGTAGGATGAAAACACATTTATCATTTTTTCCCTTGGTGGTACTGGGAATTCACTTTAAATACACAGCTACTTAATTTTCATTCATTCAACACAATGTTACAAAGCAGAGTATGGCAACACTACATTATAGGCAATCTTTCAGCACAGAATAGCATCCCTTTGTGCAAAAAGTGCGCTTTGTATAACTGTGGACTGAACCACAAGGGAAGCCCTGCATTGGAGCTACATCACCCCATTGAGGACAGACGCAGGAAAGGTTCCCTGTGTACCCACCGTTCTCGCCACCACTGCATCTCCTGTCATCAGGCCAGCTCCAAGTAAGCTGGGAGGAAGATTTTGACTCAAAGGCTTTTTAACAGCTGAAGGGCAGAGCGGGGACACTTCGGTCAAGTCAAGGAAGAAAGGGACAGGGAAGATGACTACTCAACGTTTCTCACTGGGCATCGGCCATGGTGGGCTGAGAACCCCCTCATGCAAAAGATGCTCCCATGCGCTAAGCAGCCAAGGGTCACGACATGCTATCTGAAAACTGGTTCAGAATGGCTTACTTGTGGGATGTCCTCTTCTTCATCATGTTTGCAGACACTCCAGCATGGCCTACAAGATAGGTGAGTTATAGTCAATGAGAAGTGGGTAAAAAAATACTTTAGAACTTAGGAATAACATTAATTTCTGAGTAACTGCTTACATAAGTCCTAAAAATGTACCATTAATAGCCAGCATGCAAGAAAACCATTCATTTAACTTATGAAAAGGAGGTATTATAGGCAGACAACATGCCGAAAGCCATAGTTCTCTGCTCTAAATCACCCCTAAAAATACAAAATCAGAGTTATATGGACAAAACAGCAACAGTGACAACCCTAACCAAAAAGTAGTAAATGATATAGAACTATGTTCTTATAAAATAAACAGGACAAAATATATGAAGCATCTGGTTTCAGACAGTGGGTGACAGGCAGTGAGAGTCTATTGGACCTGAGAACAGAGGAGGCCCTCACCTGTTCTAAGTTCATTCCTGAGTCCCATTACTGGATGACGAACAAAAAGGGAGGAAGCCAGAAAAAACACTGTGGCTTTGCCAAATGCCAAGCCAGACAAGAGTAAGGGAGGGATGGTGGCTACAAATGTGGAACCAAGGGCAGCACCACGCAAAAGGGGACCTCCAAAAATCTGCATGAAATGTGGAGGCTTCCATTTATGGTCACACACAAATTTGCACCTAATTCTGAAAAGCCATAAAAGGGTAAGGTTGCCTTGAACACCTGGGACAATCAGTAAAAAAACACAACAAAAAATTTGGTGTTACCCTCCTAGGAAGTTGTAACAGCCCTGTAACACAAGCTATACAGATCTATCTCCAGTAGCTGTTTGCCAAAATAAAATTCAACACTCTTTTAAAAAAAGACATGACCCAGGGGTCAACCACAAAAATTGTCCAACACTCCACCAAAAATTATTGGACATATAAAGCCAGAGTACGTGTAGCTCAGTAGCAGAGCACTTGCCTAGGATGCAAAAAACCTATGTTTGACCTACCATTCCACAATAAATAAAATTTGAAGAAAAATACCTTAAAATAAAAATCAAAGTACTAAGGATGGAGCTCTGTGTCAGAATGCTTGCCTAGTGTGCTTGAGGTCCTAGGTTCAAGCCATAGTACTGACCATAAAGAAAAGGGAAGAAGGACGGAAGGAAGGAAGGAAGGAAGGAAAGGAGGGAGGGAAGGAGGGAGGGAAGAAGAAAACCAGAAAAAATGATAAGTATTATTTAAAAAAAAAATCAACCACTGAAATGAAAAACAAAGAGATCACTGAATATGATCAATAGCACAACAGATCAAGCAGATAAAGTGACTGTTACAGGGGGCATGCTGGCCTTGCAGGTGCCCAAGAGGCCATGCAGGCCCCTGGAAAGGCAGGCAGCAGGCGCCTGGGAAGCGGTGCAGAGACACGAGCCGGCCCTTGGGCCAGCACCACCGCACGGTAGAGAACTGCCATGCTACAGAGAAGCACCAACACAACAGGCCTGCCCGGAGACGTGCATGAACCACCCTGACATGGAGAAACCTCTGGGAAAACATGCCACACAGCTCTCGCTTTTGGCCTTGCCCTTGAGAGTCAGAAGGGTGCGGAGGCAGCGGAGGAGCAGCGGGTGAACAAGGACTTGGAGAACACGAGAGTACCGTCGCCCGACAACTCAGAGGTCAAGCTGACTGGGGATGCGAGAGCCATTCAGGAGTCAGAAACCAGGAGGACCCTGCACAATACCTGGGGAGACCCCCTGGAGGCCATTCTTCCCCTAACTGTACAGGCTGTGGTGGAGGAGCAAGTGGAGCTCCAGAGAAGTCTGCACCAAGACTTCATGGATTACATGGGTGCCCAACATTCAGATTCTGAAGAACCGCCTTCATGGAGAAGGTATGCGTCTAGGTTACCTGCCAGGGACACTTTGCACCTGATCGTGCTGAGACTGACTAGTGGGCCGAGGACTTCATCTGCATATTCCTACTGCCTGTGTTCATGGTTGGGGAGAGGACACTAAGTGGTTGCGGGGGTCCCAATGAACTGGGAAGCTGGGAAGAACACCCCTCTGTTTTCTTAGACAAGAGCCATTAATAAAAGCATACTTTCCTGGATCCCAGGTCAGTAGAGGGACAAACTATTCTTAAAGATAAGTTTATTACTCAGTCAGCCCCAGACAGTAGAAAAAAGCTACAAAAAATGGCTTTTACCCCAGATAGCTCACTTGAGATGCTAGTAAGAATTGCCTCCTCAGTATTTTATAGCTGTGAGGAGGAGGCTGCCAAGGACAGAAAACAAAGAGACTGAGAAAAAACAGCTGCCTTTGTTGCAGCACTAAGAGAAACAGACCCTAAGTGTGATTCTTGGGGCCCCAAGAAGAACTCGTTGACTATATTCATCTGCTACCGCTGTCAAAAGCCAGGCCACCTCAAGAGGGACTGCCTAAGAAGACCCGTGGGCCATGCCCTGAATGCAAAGGTGACCACTAGAAGTCGGCTGCCCTCTGAGGCGAAGGCCCCAGAGCTCAGACCTCTCTTACCAGCTGGTCCAACAGGAGTGAAGGGGCCCAGGGCATACTCTGCCTTCTCCCTCTGGCCAGACTGTTACCTCCAAGAAGAAGCCCCCCATAATCATGACATAGAGGAAAAAGTAAACACCCTATTGCTGGACACTGGTGCTAGTCTCTCAGTCCTTCTTTTCAATCTTGGCCTTCCTTCCAGCCATCACACCTCAGTGAAAGGAGTCACTGAAGAGGAAGTAATCCACTATTTTTCACAATCCTTAGGCTGTAACTACTTGTTAGATCTTTCTTGCATATCTTTGTCTTCTTGAGAAACCACTTTGAAGATACCAACATGTATTACAGCAGCCATTAACAATTTCCTACCAATCTGTCCATAACGGTAATGCTCGTATTGTTCCTATGCTATTTCATAAATAGATGTATGTTT